AAAATAAATAAATAAATAGACTTTGGACAGTTCACTGAGCTCTTCGCTTTAGTTATCAATTGCGGCGACCCAATGATTCTTCGATAAACATTCAAAAACGACGAGAAAATAATAATAATAATAATAATTCACTAATGGCAGAAAAAAAAATAATATATATTAAAATAATAATAATAATAATAATAAAATCACGGATTTTTCAAAAAGGAAAATGCTGCACCTTATCATCAACATTTTATTTTTTCACACAAATAAAAATATCCATTATTTATTTTTAATATAAATGTTATTTTTAATCTCACTAATCTCGACATCACACTGAAATTGATCTCAAAATTTATTAATTTATTCTCTCTGTCCAATGAATCAGGTGACTCGAATTCTATTGAAAATTTATTAACTTAACCTTAATAATAATAATAATATAAATGATTCTCCCGATTTGAAACCTAATGAATTAATATTACTAATTTATTACTTTTATTAAGTATCTTTGCACATTTCTTTCCATCTCTCTCTCTCTCTCTCTCTTTCCCCCCCCCCCTCCTTCATTTATCTCTCTATCATTTTTAGTGCTACTATTAGGTCAAGCCAACAAACGATATTCGATAATTATTATTATTATTATTATTAAATATATAAAAAAAATCAAGTCGAAATAAATAATATAATTTCTTAGCTGACAATATTTTTAAAAAAAGTAATAATAAAATTGATGATGATGATGATGATGATGATATTTAATAATAAATATATTTTATTGATTTGTACAAACATTATTAATAAGTTTATATATTTTAACTCTATAAATATTACAAGAAACGGAGTTCAATTGATAAGGGGATTGCTAACAGAATAGGCAAGATATAAAACAATAAGAAAAGAAGCAGAAGAAAAAGAAATTTAACCCTAATAGGACTAATGACGCCATTACAGCATCCACGTCATGCCTGTAAATCGTGTTAATCCCTCATTTAAATAGGAAAAACATAAGGCATTAAAAAACGATTAATTTTATAATAATAATTAAAAATAATAATAATAATAATAATAAATATATAATTTTTTTTTAAATGTTAATATGACGCGTGCGTGTCGTACCTAAAATTTTTATGTATACATAAAAAAAAATTAATAAATTTTGTGAAGGATGACCGCATTATAAAAAAAAACCAGGCATTAATGATAATAGTACTAATACATAAAAATATTATTATTAATTAAATAAAATATTTAAACAATTTTTATAAACTACCGATTTTATTTATATAAAAAAAAAAATTTATATTGAATGAATAAAAAATTTCTTTTTGTCTAACCGTGTCATGACGGACATTAATTAATTAGAGCATATATTTAAAAAAAAAAAAAAAAAAATGTTATTCGATTATGTTTACAATCAATATATTTTTAAAAAAAAAACATAAATTTTTTTATTGCTTAATCGATGATATCTCTCGGTGACGAATTTTAATTAATTATAATTAATTTTATAAAAAAAAAAAATTTATTAGAAAAAAACTGTTATTTTTTTGTAGTAGTATTAGCAGTATTAAAATTTACCTGAGCAAAAATATCCTTAAATGTTAGCAAAAAGATTTTTTTTTTTTGTCCATTTTAATAAAACGTTTGAATTTTTTTCAAATATGCGATTTGCGTTAAATTTTATGTAAAAAAAATTTGTTTGAACTCCTTTTCTTTAAAACATGTCAGCTAATTTTGGCTTAAATTTTGTACAAAAAAAAAAAAAAAATATAAAAACAGTAGTAGCACTAAAAAATTAATAAAAAAAAAGAGAGCAGAAAGATAGAAAAGAATAAATATAGTATGAAATAAAAAAAATTAAAAAAAAAATTTATGTAATTAGTCTTAATAAAACCCATTTGATTTTTTTTTTTTTTTTAAATAATCAATCATTTACTTAAACTCACAATAACAATAAAAAGAAAATGTCACATTTTGAGCAAAATAAATTTTTTAATTTTTTATGTTGAAAATCTACACGAATTAAAACGTTTAAAGAAAGATTTTGTCGAAAGGGGAAGTACGAAAAGAAAAACGGGATGTCCTTTTAATGCGCATGCGTTAAAAGGAATTCTTATAGAGGACATTCTTTGATTACACAGTGGTTATGTTTGTTAAAACTGTTACAAAGTTTTCAAAAGGAAGGAAAAAAATATATATGTATATAAAAAAAACCTTTGAAACCTTTAAAAAAAAAAAAAACCCCATCTTACAAAAAAACAATAATTTGAGCTTAAAAAAAAAAAAAAAATTTAAATACTGGTTTTGAACTTACTTGTTATTCCAACCTAAAAGGTATAAGTTAAGGTCATCATTTTTATTATCCCAAATGAGAATCACATCTTTTTATTATTATTATTATTTAATTACAATGAAGGAAGAAAAACTGGCGCCATGATTGTCAACAACAAGTTGTCAATTATATAAAATTGTCTGATGTTGAGCTTGGCCATAACATATGTATTAATTGGGCGCCAGCCATTTTTAATACCAGCTACTTAACTTGATTCTTAAAACTTTTTTATGCTGAAATTAAAAAAAAAAAACTAATTTAAAAAATTGTCTTATTAAAACATGTCTTGTTCATTTTTTTTTTTTTAAATTAACTAGCGGACTTTTTTTTATATATTTAAAACTTGTTAAAAGTCGTAAAATTCGTTTTTTTTTTATTATTTATTTTCCCCATTAGTAATTCATGATGTGTTTTTAATAATTATTAAACATGTAAATATTAGGCTAAAAAAACGATTGACTTTTGTAATCGAAATATTATTAATTTAAAATATTTATTATATTAAGTTTAAAAAAATTACTCATTTAATTGTTCGTCGGATAATTGAAATTATCAATTTTTTTTTTTTAATAAAAAATATTCTAGCCTTTAATCCTTACTTCTTATTCGTTTGGTAAATATCCTCACAACAACTGATTACATTTTTTTCAATTTACTTTTTCATCGTTTATATTAATTATCTCATGCCTAAATATATTTTCATTTTATTTTTCTTAACTATTTTTCATAAAATTTCATATTCGTAAATGTTTTAATTACTTACCAAAACATAAAATGCAAGATTTAGTTTCATAATTTTTATAAGTGGTGTAGATTTTGCAAACCAATATGGCGGATGGCAAAAACGAACTTATTCCCGGCTTTTTGAAAATTTTGCCAACTTTTGAAAATTTCAAAATTAACGTTAATTACCATTGAAGTAGTTAATTTGGCGGTTTTTCATCGTCGAACGATTATTTAATTACATTTTTTTTAAATTTAAAGTAAAAATAAAAAGTGGTTTTTTTAATATTTCTTAGTTTTAAAAAAAAAAAAAAAAGTAAAAAAAATTATTCATTAATTTTTGCGTAGAATTAATAATAATTAGCCGTGGATAAAAAAAAAAAATGTTCAATAATATTCGTGACCTTTATCAATTATTTTTAATAGATTTAACGTATAGATTTTTGTAAGACTAAATGATTTTAAATTGTTCTCTCTTTATTCTGACGTAAATGAATACATAAAAATTTATTTATCCTTACTGTAAGTTAAATTTTATATTTATATATATATATATATATATATATTTTTTTTTTTTTTTACTTAAAACCTTTGTGTTGCTTACAAAATAATTTAACAGACCCTACCCCACAATGTGTATCTTATTGAATATAGTGACGTCATAGGTGACAGGTCAATGATTCCAAAAATATGATATCTCTTATCACAAACAAAAAAATTTCAATATTATAATTTTGTTAGACCAGACCATGCTGAGAGGTGATGTTAACAAGATTTTATTCAATTGTTTTTCTTTTTAGGCATAGCAAAATGTTATGAAAATAAAAAAACAAAATGACTACCCTTCCCCCCCCAAAAAACTCAAAGATCTTTTTAAATTATTATTTGAGTTCTGTTCAAAAAAAAAGCTGTTGTCTTGTTAAATGTTAATAATTTTCTATTGGCACATGACCTATGACAGTTTGGTTAGTTACAAATAGCAAAAATTTTTTTAATTATTACACCAAGGTAAATTGAATCAATAAATTTCTCATCAACGTCATAAGTTTTATAAATTTATTTACCCTTCATTTTTTTCACAAGAAGACATTTTATTTATTATAAATCACATAATATTTTAGCTTGCTTTTGATGGTTTTATTGTTAAGAATATATATTTGACAAGTAAGCTTATTAATCAATAACGTTTCACAAAAAAAAAGGAAATTTTAAGTGTTGAAATAAAATTTTATTTTACCATAACTTTTTTATGTTTTATAACTTAAAATTTTATTTATTCACAATTTTCTTTTTTTTTTTTTTTTTTTTAATGTACACTGTTTTCACGATTACTTCAATCATAAATCTAATAAAATGATCATCATTATTATACAACAAATAATAATATAAAAAGCTTTTTTAAAAAAAAATGAAACACTAGCAGGTATCACAAAAAACGTTGTTCATTCATTTTTCTAATTTTAACCATTTAATAATTCATTTAATAAAATTACATTTTTTTTATTTTTTGATTTTAAAAGCTCTAAGTCTACATAAAATAAAATAAAACTTTTATTTTTATTTTTGCAATTAATGTGTCACAATGATAAATAATTAAAAAATGCACACACAACC